AGACGTGTTTCTGTCCGGGTGAGGTGGTAAGCAAATGGCTACTACTAACCACAGTGCTTTACAAACACATTGCCTTTGCATTTCAGCGACAATCCCCAAGTCACTGTATCATGGGCATGATACGCAGGAACTGGACTGGCCTCCTTTACACTCTCCATTGTTATATATATGTCTGCTGTGGGCTGGTATACACTACAAAGTTCATTTCATGCCCTACGCGATGTGATTAATCCCGCCTAAACCCTGGTTTGGATATTGCTAGGCTGATGGCAGAATTCTTCCATTGACTCAGCTACTGCCTCTCGGAGAGTTGGATTAATTACCCCTTCCATCCCAGTCGTGTCTCCAACACAACCATGCAGCTGGACCATTTCTAGTGGAGGCAGAGTCTCAGTCTCCTGCTTGTTTCCTCATCAAGGCCCCAATTCAGTGAAACACTGACGCATGTGCTTAGCTATAAGCGTGAGCTTACGTCCCATCAAATCAGTGGGATTTAAGCCTGCGGTTAAGAGCTTTGCTCAACAGGGAAGGACTCAAGCATGTGCATAAAGTTAAGGAACTGGGGCTTCGGGGTTTGATTCTGTGAGGTGCTCAGCATTCTGATCTTCACTGGAGTCAAGGGGGGCTGAGGATGCTCAAAAGCTCCCAGAAGATGCTGAAGGCTTGATTCTTGCATTGCAGTCAGTGGGAGTTTTGTCACTAATAATAGCGGAATGGGCTCAAGCCCTTAGTACAGTGCAGGACCTGTGAAGCTATGATCAGTCCCTAATCAGGGAACTGAGCCAGAATCCACTTTCGGCAGGTGGCCAATGCGAGCCCAGCTCTGACTTTCTTGCTGACAGGCCCAGGTGCTGTAGCTGGATCATTTAGAACAGATCCTTTCCTTAACTCATGCCATCGGGTTTTGTGTTCCTGGAGCCACCCTGGCTTTCCTCCAATTGAGGCATTATTTGAAATAATTCCTATCCACAAGCACTCTTTGGTTTGTTCCTTGTCAGCATGTGAAACTCCAGGTGTTCTGATTGGAGGTGGAGGAGACTTGGTGTTTCTCTTCTCTGATAGGAGGAGGGGAGCTCCCAGAATCTGGTTTCTGCTACAAACCTTCTGGATGACAAGCCCGGACAGAGTTCTCCAAAGTTTGTTAAAAACTGGGTGCTCCTGTGAACATAGGACCTGCCCAACTGGACTGGACCCAAGGCCCATCTAGCCCATATCCTGTCTCTGGCAGTAACCAGCACCAGCAGCTCAGAGGAAGGTGCAAAAACCCCGACAGCAGGCAGTTGTGCGATAATCTCTCCCCACCCCACCCCCCAAGGTCTCACCGTGATCCCTAATAGTTTGGTTAAGCCCTGACACATAAGGTCTTATCTCCCTTCCAAAATTATTGTTGTCACTAATTATAACTGTGGGGTACAGCCTCACTGACTTACAGAGTGCCCCCTTGCAGCAAGACCCAGCATTACAGGGATCTGCCTCAGTATCCCCACAGTTACCTTTGCCCTCCTCCTGCCATAGAGGTGACTTGCTGCAGTGACTTGGCCCTCTAGCTAAGTCACTACCAAAAGTCCCATTCATGGACATTTCTCCCCCAACAGCTCTAGCCACAAGCGAACTGCTCCTATCCTTATTATTTAATATCGATATTCCCAGAGTGCCCACAGCTCCTGTTATACTAGGCAACTTATAGCTAGAGAGGCAGACTCCCCAACACGCAAAGAGTTCACAATGGAAAATACCTTGGGGACAGTCATTTTAACCATGCACTTACCAGCATGCGAGAATCTCCCAGCACTTTGCAAACAGTCACTAACAAAACCTCACCACTCTCCCATCAGGGAGTCCCCCCCTCTGTTTTACAGATGGGGAAACTGAGGCACAGATCAATTGTGTGACTTGCACAAGGCCAGAGAGCTAATGAGTGTTTATAGCATTGCACTCCAGGCAGTCTACTGAGTGGAGATGGAAAGGATAGCATGGATGGATAATACCTTTAGTGATCTCGGATGCAGGGATCCGAGAGACAGGGAGAGGAGTATGTGATAAGCATAAACACTTAACACCATCGGGAAGAAAGAAGATACCCCTGGTGACAGAGCCATGTATTACATGTCGCTGTGGCAGGGGTCACTGGGTGGTGAACTGACAAGGTTTTTCTAAGCATGCAAGCAGTCTTGGAAGAAATGCTGCATCGCTGTTAGTTTTGTGATGCAGTTTCTGTTTGGGGAGCTGTGGCAAATGGCATAGGAGTTTGCTCTGTGCCTTGAGCTCTTTAACCAGAGTTAATTCTTGCTGCTGAGCTGTCCCCTGGGCACCGGGCATTGGAGTTTGGGCCACGATTGCAGAGAGGGGACTGCCTGCATGCTGCATGGGACCACCTCTCTTCTAGGATTGCTGCGTGACGTGTAAAAAACAAGCTGTACTAGGAATACACCCAGACTCCGCCCCATCATTTCTCCTCTGATGAAAAGCCGACCTGCAAGACCCCAATATTTGTTACTGCTGAGCACAGTGCAACAACATAAAGAAGCTACATTCACCATGAGTACTCAGACACCACAGCTGCTCCGACAGCTGAACTATGAACCCTCTGTTCCAAAAGCATCCCTTCCCTACCACCACCACGTGAACTACATATGAATCTCTTAGCAGTACTGAGGCTATGACACACAGTTGAGCACGGCTGATTGCAACACTGCCATCTACTGGCTGCTCTGGCACACTAGCGAGAACATATGGACATTGGGCTGTTCATTATGAGCTTGTCTTCTCTACAGTCTGTACTCATATTTAACACACGTTAACGAGGCACAAGACTGGTGGGGCAGAGCGGTAAGGAGACCCAGCTGCTATTCCCAGCTCTTCCATTGACTTCCTATGGGAGCAACTCACAAGCCTGCTGTGTGCCTCAGTTCCCCCATCTGTACAATGGGGACAAGGCCTAACCCATTTTGGGGGAGGGGGCAAAGCTTAACCATTCATGTCTGTAGAGCTCTGTGAGTCCTCAGAGGGAAGGCAGCAGAGGGGAGCAAGCTGCTGTTATTCCTGCCCCTGTGTTATCTCATGCATCCCTGTACCCCTCTTAGCTTCCCTCAGAATGAATCCTCTTAACCCCAACCAAAGCCTGACAGGGTGGAGCGAGATCCTTGTGACAGCCCCCATCTCTGCCTGGGCTGGACACTTTGCATGTAGCGAGGTAGAAGATTCACGTGAGCATGCCTATGTTCAGATGCCGCCTGCGCTGAACGCACCCGCACTGCCTTGGGCTGGAGAGCTCAGGAGAACAGCCTTTCTCAGGAGAGCCTTGGTGCCTTCGGCTGGGGATCCAGACGGGGACTTAGGAGAGCAGAATCCAATTCCTGGCTCTGCCACACATCCCCCGAGTCTTGGCCCAGTCACCCCGGCCAAGATTTGCAAATGTGACGTGTGATTTTGGGTGCCCAAGCCGAGATCCCTGACCGGGGTCAGACTATGTGGGTGGCTGCTCAGCACTGCCTGGAACCAGTACGCTTTCAGGTTTCTCAGGGCTGCTCCCCTAAAATCATCAGCCACTTCTGACTCACGGATTGGTACCAAAGCAACAGGCATGCGCACCATGTGTGATCCGTTCTGCGTCATGCTCTGTCCTCCCTGCGTGGTGGCCCAGTCACAGGTACAGGTTGGTGAAGATGCTACAGCCTTAGCTAACAGAGATGCCTGCCTGCCATCCCAGGTCTGACGCCCACCGCTGACAACCCAACCGGGAGCGCGGTGCTGCACACACAGATTCTCTGCTCTCCTCCGCAATTGAGGACCAAGCCAGCTTGGTCTTCCCACCATCACAGCCCGAGGGCCTTGGGAATGGGCTAGGCTGAGTGGAACTGGACCTCCTGTTCCCACCAAACCTACCTCACTGGGTGCCAGCCAAAACACTGATCACTGTATCTTATCCCCTTCTCTCCCCGCAAGTGAGCGAAGGCCCCCAGGGCCAGGCTGAACAGAGAATTTGACCACAGGGAGGCGAGAGCTGCCCCAAGGGGCATGCTGTCCTACCCCCTCAGTCCATTTCAAATCAGTAGTGTTATTTTGCTTTGGTAGTTCATATTCACACCTGGATTTCCAGGCATCTTTGCACCTCTGGGAGGGATTCACTGCTGGGCAGGGGGCCAAGGCATCAGCCAGACGTGAGCAGAGCTTTGGCTTCGTGCTGGCCCCCTGCCCAGGGGCTGAATCGCCCCTTCTCTGTAAATAAGAAGGATCCCATGCAGAAGCAGCCACTGGACTCCTACAAGCTGAAATCCAGGTTTTCTTGCATTCTGGATTGGGCATGGGATGAATTGGTGGGATGAATCTCCTCTGACACACACAGGAAAGAAAATTACATAACAGCCCGAGCACTTCTCAGGTGCATTGGAGGCTGAAGCTACCAGGGAAGGAGCTAATGTAGAATTTATGATAGCAAATGGCCAAAGGCCCGTATCCCACTTGCTCCCAGATCTGTTCTCTCCTCACAAGCAGATTCAGTTCAGGGAGGCAGAGGAGATGCACTAAACCTGGATGCAACCCCACATACCTGGGGATCTGGATTCTGCCCTCCCCCTGCGACACTGGCCCTGGGGCTAGCAGCCTGGCTGCCACTGGGGTGCTGCTCGGTTACCAGTATGTGAGAGTAGGAGAGATGCTTCCAAACAGAGAGAAAACCCAGGGGGTTTACGGCAGGCCTCGGTGAATGAAGGAAATTAACCAAAAAATAACCCCAGTGATGCCTCAGCCAGCACAGAATTCGTAGCCCTGAAACAGCTGCAGCTGCATGGGGCCAGCTCCCCAGCTGGAGTAAACGGGATTTCGCAGGGCACAGCACTGAGGATTTGGCTTGAACTCACTCTACTCTGACAAACGATCCAGATCCCATAAGCCAAGTAGTGAACTCAGGTTTGCCCAGATGCCACCCACTCACGTCGGGCTGCGGACTCTGCCCCACCGGCCATTCCCGATTCCCCGAAGAACGAGCTGGTGTCACTTACCCCAGGTAACGTCTTCTGCTCATGCAGCGCACTCTGGGCTTTCAGAGCAGAGTCCCGGGCACAGTATGTGAGGAAGGCGCAGCCTGGGGAGGGGAGAGAAGGCAGTTATTGCACAGACGCCGAGCCAGAGCTCCTGCCCAGACGACAAACCCAGCACGGAGTTGACATGGCGCCTCTCCCCAGCTGCAGCGAAGGGCACATGGCAGCACGGAAAGGGGCGACTAAGGTACGCAGGCAGGCGTGCCATAGCCAGTCCTCAGCGAAACCCTGGCCAGGCAGACTGCAGACTCCCACCGCTCTGCAGTGATCCTGGATAATGGCCTCTCCTGAGCACATCCGCCCCGCTGCGTCTCCTGAGCCTCTTTCATGCCCTGAAGCTCTAGCACTGCCCTCTTCCAGCTCGGCCCTCATCACCCCAGTTCACCAGCAGAGTCCCGCTCTGTGCTCAGCTCCCGCTCTGCGCCGTTCACTGATGCTGCCGGGGAGCCGAGAGCAGGACTGGGCAGCAGGATCTCACCCTGTGGATGCTGCAGGAGCCACACAGAGCCCGGCTTGACCCCGCCACGCCCTGGAGAGCGTGCTGGGCTGGGGCGCAGCAAACAAATCTCTTCACTGGCCACCTGCAGACACCCAAGTCTTGGAGGCCTAACAAGGGTGAATCCTGCGCTCCTCGCCAGGGAGGGGTCAGCAAGGCCCTGGGTAGGGGGCACCAAAGAGGCTCCAACATGTCTGTCCCTCATGCTGGGTCTCTTATCATCACCTTCTCTTGTCAGGGGCGCGTGCATGCTGTTTCTGCTATTACTAGGGAGTCAGTCCAATCATTCCTACCACCTGTGGGCAGAGGAGCAGTCTCACTGTATCCCTGTATCCTAACACGGCACCACAACCACCACTGCATTGGCACCGTCACTGGCATTGCCCCTGGGGAAGCCTGGGGCTGGCTGTGCCATGGAGACTGACTGTAAGCCCCAGGGAATCGATACCGAAATTTGGCTGTCCACCCAGAGGGGCCCAGTACTCGGTACTGGCTCCCCTGGCATGGAGACCAAAGCTGCAGGCCCCGCCTGTCCACGGAACTGGGTCTAAATCACAAATGAGGTGATGTGGATTTGGCCGCTGTGCAAGGACAGTGCTGGGTCCAGGAAGAGGGGAAACGGGCTTGGATCTAAGGCAATCGGAGTGCATTAGCCAGGTCTGGTTAATTGAAATCAGCGAGCAGAGCCAAACACACCAGGATTAAAGCAAATCCCTCCAGATTAACAAATCAGCAGCACTAGGCTGCCAAGGTGGGGAGATGGGGATCGGACCAGGTTGTGGGGAGCAGGCTGCCCTGAGACAAGGCCCTCCTTTGAGCACAGCCACACCCTCATGCCATTACCCCCACCTCCAGTTGGGGTCACCCCTCCCCCAGAGAGGCTGGGGCAGCAGTATGTCTCACATATCCCCAGGAGCAGCCCAAGTCTCCCTCCCCTTGGGCGATGCAGCAGGCATACCCTCTGTCCCCCAAGGAGGCAGGGGGCACCCGCAGTATTTACCCCCACAATTGGGGTGTATCTGCCTGGGGCTGGGCTCTTCTCATGCTGTTGGGGTGAGGCTGGCTGGGCTCCCAGAGCAGTAGGGCTGGGGGTTAACACTCCCTTGAGCTGCCTGGGGCTCTCAGAGCTATTATCTCAGGGTCTCTGCAAACGCAGGCGAAATTGTTGCACCCAGGTCATGTTTTCAAGCTTTTCTTCCCAGCCAGGGGGCTCAGAATCTTCCTATTGGTTTTTAATGAAAGCTGATTTCCTCACATGGCTCCAGGAGCTGGCCCCACGCAAGGGCCTACAATGCCCATGTCAGACCAGGGACGGGCTGTACAGTGAGGCTGGGCAACATGACGGGGTGTGGGGCAGAGTGCAGGGCACTATCCCTGCCTGGATCTGGCCCAGACTGTTAGACCCAGAGGTGGGTGTCTCCTCCCCAGTTGCCCCCGCACAAACACCCTTCCCCAAGACAGACGCTACCTTTCAGTCATTTAGTAGCTAAAAGACTTCAGCCACTGAGGGGTTAATGGCCTAAGAGTCCATGAGGAACTGCTCTCCCTGCGATCAGCTGTGGAAGCAGCAGTAAGTACTGATCTCAAAGGGCATGACTGATTGCTCTTCATCCAGCCGGGGTTCGGACAGTGAGGGTGGGTCCAACTCATCCCCGATGTAATGCCAATGACTACACCAGGGATAAATCTGTCCCCTTATTTTACAAGCATTTCTCACCTTTCGTCCCCACACACCTTATCCAGGGATCACTTCACCCTCTCCTGAAATGCAGCCCCTTCTGGGGTGAGTCAGGACAGCTGTTTCACAGAGCACAGCAACACTGCCCCATCAGGTAACCAAGGGTGATCCAACCTCCACCTGAAATTGCCATAGGGAATTTGGGGAGGTGGGCTTTGGCCAGGACCCCAGGGCTCAGCTCCCTGACACTGTGAAAAGGGCCCCGGGATGATCTCTGATGGCCAGGAATGCTCAGGACCTCACTTTTACATCTCCGAGCATCTACACCAGCATGGTGCTTCTGTGAGGCCAGGAACCCTGCTAGAAAAGAGGCTTCACTGGGCATCTGGTACCCTCTGCTCCTCCCTAGAGGAACTGATAATGCCCACTTGCAATAATGCCCCTGCCTGCGTCCTCTGGCCAAAGGACTGAGGGATCTAGATCAGGTGCTGTCATGGCTTGAGCTAAAGGCCCAGGCTGGAACAGACTCAGAAATCTGGATAGCCACTGGACAAGTCCAAAGCCCCACCCTGTTACCATCGGTTGCCCATTACAGGCCAAAGCTGGCCAAGGCTGTGACGGGGCACGCCTAGCACAAGGGGGGATTCCTCATTTCCATTCATTGAGGGTCAGCCAGATCTTCTTCTCCAGGCATGCGGTGGCAGGGTTGCTGTTTGAAGGTGTCCCGTCAGTTCAGGTGCCCAGCACTGCGGGAAGCCTGCTGTGTGCTCTCAGCAGTGCTGCGTACGCTCTCCCCTTGGGAGCAATGGCTGTTTCCAAAAAGGCATTCCCTGGCTTGGGTTCATAGTCAGCTGGTTGTGGGAGGCTCAAGTGCAGGGCATCCTGGGAAATGTAGTCCCAAATGGCTAGCAGAACTGGAGAATAGGAGCTCGTGAGTGGGGATTCTGGGAACTGGCTTGCCTAGAAAAGAGAAGGGGCTGCCCAGCTGTCCTTTAGCCAGAAAGCAGTGATCATTCCCACTGCCAGCCATGGGTCCCTGTGAGTCCTGGGTGTCAACCCCTCTGGCCTCAGCATCTGCTTCTGGGGGGTGATGGGGTACTTCTTTTGGATTCCTACTTTCCTGCAGGAGTCCAGTGGCTACCTAATGCTGCCCTCAGCAAAGGAGTCCCTTAGCATAGGGAAATCCACAGCTGGCTTAGACAGCCCAGCCCCAGTTGTTCTAAGGTTAGCTGCTACACAATGCACTCATAGACTCATACACTTTAAGGTCAGACGGGACTAGGGGAACCAGATGTCCCGATTTTATAGGGACAGTCCCGATTTTGGGGGCTTTTTCTTACATAGGCACCTATTACCCCCCACCCCCATCCCAATTTTTTACACTTGCTATCTGGTCACCCTAGACAGGACCATAGTGATCATCTAGTCTGACCTCCTGCACATTGCAGGCCACAGAACCTTACCCCCGCCCAACACACACTCCAGTAATAGACCCCCAACCTCTGGCTGAGTTACTGATGTCCTCAAATCATGGTGTAGAGACATCAAGTTACAGAAAATCCACCAAACTTGCAAGTGATTCATGCCCCAGGCTGCAGAGGAAGGAAAAAGACCTCCAGGGTCTCTTGCCAATCTGACCCGAGGGAAAATTCCTTCCCGATCCTAAATATGGCGATCAGTTAGATCCTGAGCATGTGGGCAAGACCTACCAGGCAGATACCTAGGAAAGATTCCCTGTTATAACTCAAAGCCCTCCCCATGTAATGTCCCATTTCCAGCCATTGGGGATTTTCGCTACTGGCGCTTGTGAAGTGGCTTCTTGGGAGCCAGTACCTGCAGGCACAAGTTAGACCAGCCCCAAGGATGCTCTAATTAGTGCTACAGGCTGGTAAAATTGCAGAGGAGGGGGTGGACCACCTGTTCATGCTCCACTCCATGTGCACTAAGCATCTTTTAGTGCACATGGGCTCTGACCTAGGGCTTAGGCTAACATCTTTAGACTCCTCTTCCTTTAACCCTGTTCTGTCTGGCTATTTCTACAGCCCCTTCACCCCACTAACATGGCTTTATCCGGCTTACATCCTGCAAGGTCAGAAAGATTTATTATCCCCATTTTTCACAGATGGGGATCCAAGGGCCAGAGAGAATTAACTGACTTGCCCAACAGGAAGGAAGTCTGTGGCAGAGGCAGGAATCAAACCCAAATCTGTGTCCGTCTCCTTAACCACAAGGCTATCCTTCCTCTCCTGAAGCCTGGGCATGACTCAGAGGGGAAGCACTACCTGCCACTTCCTGGAGCGTCACGTTTTTTTCCACCGAGGTCTCCCAGCCAAGCAGTGACCATGTCTGACCCTGTTGAGCAGCCAAGATACAAGCAGACCAAGGTAGAAGCATGTCCAAAATCACCAGGATGCTGGCCGCCTGGCCTTGCTTTACCTTTGAGATATTTGCATGCCAATGGCTGGCTTGTAAAGTGATTTCTAGGTCTGCTGGGTTTGAAATAACAGGCCAGAGTCTCCCCCGCAGCGCTCAGACCCCCTCCCAGCTCCCAACACCCCCTTGCTATAGGATTTTATCCTGCTGAGAAAGGTGGTGCCCCGAGGCAGGTGGGGCGTATCACAGCAGCATGGCATTCAATGGGAATTGTGACTCCTTTGGAAACCTCAGCCTTGCTGCCTCCACTGAAGCTAAATGGCACTGACAATGCAGCCCCAACAGAGGGCGCTGAACACTTTAAAAGCTGGCCCAGAGTGAGTAGCTGTGTCCCAGGCGCCCCCTGTTGGCAATAGATGGGGCTACACAATTATGAGTAAAAAGAAAAGGAGGACTTGTGGCACCTTAGCGACTAACCAATTTATTTGAGCATAAGC